ATGCAGGGTCCAAGTGTGCCATAGGCTAGAGACCATTCCCAAGGCTTCTCCTTATACACATGAAGCAGACCACATCTCAAAAGCAGTTACTCAGCTGCTTGTGGTAGATCCCACCAGGGAGTTGATTGCCAGTCTCATCATGGGGAATAACTACCACCAGCTGTCCAGTCACTCAACCAGGCCCAGCCAAGTTGACACACAAACATAACCACCACAACCTTGTTTTGTTGTTGAGTGCTGTTGAGTTGCCTCCAACTCATAGTGACCCTACATAAACAGAACAAAGCACTGCTGGGTCCTGCACCATTCTCACAGTCCTTGCTACGCTGGAGGCCATTGTCACAGCCACTGTGTCAATCCATACCATTGAGAGTCTTCCCCTTTTTCGCTGACCCTCTGCTTTACCAAGCATGATATCCTCCAGGGAATGGTCCCTTCTGACAACATGACCAAAGTAGGTGAGACAAAGTCTGACCATTCTCGCTTCTAAGGAGCATTCTGACTGTACATTTTCCAGGATAGATTTTCTTCTAGCATCCATGGTATTTTCATTTTTCTTCGTGAACACCATGATTCAAATGCATCAGTTCACCTTGTACCTTAATGTGGACTATTGTACTTTTCTTGTTAACCTTCTAATATCTAGTTGAGATCATCTGGATTTTGCCTAAAGAAAAATTGGAACCTTCAAGATTAAAGAACCTCAAACATTTTAAGGGGCCTACATAAACTTCATAACTGAGAATTAGGAAAGTGGCAAACATTTGGTTCAGCTTGGGCACATGGGCACTAAAAGATAGGAAGGAATAAACTTATGTGTTAGGTTCCATTGGGTGCCCCTCAGTTCTCACAGCAGGAAGGAACTTATCCTTTCTTCCTGTATTTTCCTTCTGACTCTATTTTGAGGGCACACAACTCAGTCTGGTTTTATTAATTCTATGTTTAGAGTGAGTAGGATTTTATTGACTGGTTTGGAACTGTCAGTATCACTTATATCAAAATTTATATTGGAAAGAGTTCTACATTTGAAAGGATCAATTTACTAAGGACCAAAACATAGTTTTGGGCTCTAACTCCTTTGCAAGCTGAGGGTAGCAGTTTCATCTGTTCCCATTGATATGTACTGGCTAATGTCTGGGATATAAAAGGTTGCTTTGAACAGCCAGGGGAGGACCCCTGGAGATTTTAGTGGCATAGTTAATATTTTAACTAGTATCTCACTTGAGAGTCTCTGGACATAGCACTGAACATAATACTTAGAAAAACATTTTATGTAAATATTTCTCTGAATAATCATCTAGACTTCCTACATAGCAAGGAAACAAATTTCCTCATACTTGAGGGTAGAGGAGAGGGGGAAGTGAATTTTTGGTGATGAAAATAGTGTGAGCAAGCATAGGGAGGCAGAAATACTAACAGCACATTCAGGAGCCAGTCATTCATTTATCACATATTCCCTGAACACATACTATGTGCTGATGTCAGGAGTGCAAAATGAATAAATTTATGGTCCTTCTCCTCCTTTGAAGCATTTGAGTCTAGCTGGGGGACAGAATCAGAGTCCAGTGTGGTGAATACTATACCGTACCAGAGGCATGGAGAATATTCTGTGTTTATCATTGTCCCAACTTGAGGAAGGTGGGAAATCAACACACTTCCAGAAGAGATGGCACTTAGACCTGGGAGTCCTCATGGGAAACAATGGTTAGAACTTAAAGGCAACCAGCTGGCCAGGCAAGCAGGAGTAGAGTTTGAGTCATCATGTTCTTTCCTTACCAATGCCTGTAGCATCATCCGGGAAAACTGCTTTGTGTAAATTTGTAGTTATTACACAACTCTCTAGGTAGGGGTGTGGGGAATTAATGTGCACTGGGCATTCACAGGTAGGAGG